CAATGGGCGCTTTCATAGCACTTACAACACACTATCATGACTTGCAAGCAATTCAAGTAAACCCAAAAACTGCCTGTCAAGGTTCCTTCCCCACTCTGAACTCTAGGGTACAGATATGGGGACCTGCATGAAAGACCCCCTAAGCTTATTCTTACCAGCTTAGGTTAAAAACTTCCTCAAGTTACACACTTTGCCTTGTCCTTGAACCCTATGCTGCCACCACCAAGCGTGTTAAACAAAGAACAGGGAAAGAGCCCACTTGGAGACGTCTTTCCCCCCCCACCCCAAATATTCCCCCAAGCCATACACCCCCTTTCCTGGGGAAGGCTTGATAAAAATCCTCACCAATTTTCATAGGTGAACACAGACCCAAACCCTTGGATCTTAAGAACAATGAAAAAGCAATCAGGATCTTAAAAGAAGAATTTTAATTAAAAGAAAAAGTAAAAGAATCACCTCTGTAAAATCAGGATGGTAAATACCTTACAGGGTAATCAGATTCAAAACATAGAGAATCCCTCTAGGCAAAACCTTAAGTTACAAAAAGACACTAAAACAGGAATATACATTCCATTCAGCACAGTTATTTTACCAGCCATTAAACAAAAGGAAATCTAACGCATTTCTAGCTAGATTACTTACTAACTTAAGGAGTTATGAAAAGCATCACACAAACAGACAGACCCTTTGTTTCCCACCCGCCTCCAGCTTTGAAAGTATCTTGTCTCCCCATTGGTCATTTTGGGTCAGGTGCCAGCGAGGTTATCTTAGCTTCTTAACCCTTTACAGGTGAAAGGGTTTTGCTTCTGGCCAGGAGGGATTTTATAGTTCTGTATACAGAAAGGTGGTTACCCTTCCCTTTATATTTATGACACTGCCATTACGAGGCTTGTATAATTTCTCATCTGCACTGCACCTCACCTCTCAATTAAGTGCAGCAAATTACCCATGAGATGACGCAAAATAATGTTCCACGCGTCCTTCTACAACTTACAGCAGGTTTGCATGTCTTTTGTGAGACCCTTTTCCAACCAGATCCATCCAATAAGCAATGTGTTCCTTTGAACGCTCATGTTGGCATACATGCTCACTAAGATGGAAAAAAGAGAGTGAACCCAATTTGACAGTGCGCAAAAGAAGATGAAGAATGTGGCTGGAAAAGCAAACAAAGCAAAGGTAAAAGTACGACTGTACATCAACCAAGCTTACTGATGTAACTTCCCATTAGAACTTTTGAGAACCATGATTTTAATACTTGCCTTCCTTTGCATTTGCTAGGCAAAAAGTCTTGTTCTAAATTAGCAACAGGACTGTTCTCTATGAAAAAATAGTGAACAAAATTAATCTCCTGTGGCCAAGTAGCCAGATCTGCCTTGTCAAAGTCAAAATTCTGCCCCATGCTTTCAATAGTTGAACCTCTTTCGGCATCCATGCCCATAACAGTTGCACTAGCAACTAGTGGACAACTTTCTGTCCCAGAATCAGACACTCTGGGTCCCAACAATTCAGCACTAAACTCCGTGCTGGAATCAGAGACTCTGACATTCAATAAGTCTGACAAACCCAAATCAACATCCTCACTAACTAAGAAAAGCTCAGAAGTGCAAGTTGCAGAACAATCTGTGGATTGTTCATCAAAAACATGGTCAAACTTTGCATGTTTCAAGAAACTTTGTAGATCACTCTCAGTTTTCTGATCTTAATGGGTCTGCTGCAGCCTGCATTTTTGAGCACTACTCTTGTGCTTGTAAGGGCTCATCTTCTAGTTCAAGACTCTACAGACATTTGAGTTACAATAAGTGGATTAGAAGCTTTCCTCCTTTAATTTACACTTACACATACAGAGTCAACTCCTTTAAGAAACCATCAATTGGCACTTCTGTGATGGAGATTTTTAGAAAAGGGAAATAACTGTGGTATCTCAGATAATGGCTTGTCTACATTAGAATGTTTTTCTGCTTTAATTATACTGATCTTGTATAAGCACCCGTCTCCCAGTATAATTGCATCCACACTAGAGCTAATATAACTGTTTATTCCTGGAAGAATTCTGCATCACTGCACATGCGCAGAATTGATGTCCCCCACAGATTTCTTTGCTTCCCTACAGAAAAAGGGCTTCTGACGGTGAAGCAAAGGGAAGCTGCAAGAGCAGTCACATGCCCGTCCCCAGCAGTGCAGGCAGATTGGTTCAGGTGCCCGGAGCAGCCAGTAGAAATGTAAATCACTGGGAGTGGTGAGGGGAGGGAGGGGGTTTAGGAAGTCGTGTGTGAGAGAAAGAGACACTCTGTCCCTCTCGCTCGCTATTGCAGCACACTTGATGTGGTGGGGCAGGGCTTCGGGGTGTTTCTGAGGAGGTAGGTGTGGGACAGGCTCTGTCTCCTCAGGAGAGCAGAGTATAGCAGCCTGTCTGCTTAGTGAATTTTTCCCATTGTCTTTGTGAATTCCCCCAGGAGCATAAAACAGGTGTAAAAATTTTAAGGCTCCTTTACATTGCCAGAGTGGTGTAAAGGATAGTATGGCCTTATAAATGCATATGTTGCTTTAGCAATTAGAACTGGTCTAACTTTTTGGACAGAAAAAATTTCCTATCGAAATGTGCTCCATGAACTGTTTGCTACTTCCTTTTCTGGAGATGGTCAGTAGCCAATATAAATTATGAATTTGATTCCCCAGTCCTCACTTGCTCTTCAGTTGCCCATGATGTAACACTGAGCATATGGTTGCATATATTTGTTGACTAATAACTAGAAATAAAGGGTGAAACCTATCTACATTACTATTAGGCAAGGGGATTTGGGGATTTCATTCAATGCTCCCCATTCCCAATCTCCATCCATTGTATTGTAGTTTAAATAAATTGCCAAAATAGTTGAAACCAGAGTGATTATACTGCATTACTTTGACAAATAAAATATGCAGAATTTTAAAATATTGTGCACAGAATTTTTAGGTGCAGAATTGCCCCAGGAGTATATAACTATGCAAAAAATCAGCCACCAAACTAATATAGTCAAACCAGTATAACTTTTCTAGTGTAGATCAGCCCTTGGTAACCGCTGTCTTTTCATGATAACCACTGAAAATACAATAACACAATAACCTACACAATGCTTTAATTATGGATTCATGCGCATGGTTCCAAAACTATTGTTACAAGCCATGTTCATTTAAATATACACAGGCTTAGTGAAAGGTGTCCACACAATTTCCCTTGCCATCTAAGCATATGCGCTCGTGTCCGGAAATAGCACATGCATTTGTGGTGCAAAATTTTGAGGATTTAGCCCTAAGATTTGGATAAGTGTGACTAGAAGGCAGAAGACCAATGCTGACATTTACATGGATGAGACAACCAAGACAAATGCAACAAGAAGTGTGATGCTTCCTTGGGATGCCCAGAACTGTGAGTCACCTTGTTATCCCCCTGCCTCAGTGAGAGAGAGAGAGAGACTTGCTTGTGTTTAAGTGAGCGTCAGCTCCCTGACGTCACCCATTTGTTGGCTACACAAACAATCTCCTCAGGGCTCTACCAGCCCTTACTTTGCAATAGGTGCATCCCAACCCCTGAACCCCCTTGAAGCACTTCCCCTGTAGTGTCCAGCCCTTAACCACTGGACACTCCCAGAAATTACCAGCTAAGCTGTTCCCAAAGGAACGGTACAAACATGAGCTTGTTTGGTTCAACTGAGGATCAGATGCAATATAACATCACAGCACTGAGATATATTTACAGTGAAAACAATCATAAGTTTATTATCAAAGGCTAAGATTTAAGAGATAATGAATGAGTATAATGGTGTAAACAGAAATGGTTACATATAAAACAAAAAGTATACCATGCTTTCTACAATCTAAACTTAACTTTAACAGGCTAAACTGTTGTCTAAATTTGTTTTAGGTGAGAGGGTTTCTCTCTCAACATCTCCAACCAACACGATGTGGATCCCCCTTTCATAAATGCAAAAACTGCTGTCTTTTTTGTTTTTTCAGTGAGGGATGAAGGATATCTTTCTGCCTTCTCCTTATACTTCCCAAAGTCATTGTTTTCTCCCCAGAGTCAGGATGACCCCATGCGGTTTACTCCCTGGTGTGCTGGCTCCATGTTGACTTACATCTTATGTTGACATTGTATGCAAACCAGATTCCATTGTGTTGGCTTACAATTCTTTTTTAACATATGAATCGAGTACAGATGTGACTACATCCTTTGTCTGGCCAAAACCTGTATGTCAACCCTGCCTGAGACATATCCCTAAAACATATTTTCAGTACATATACATAACTCCTTAATATCATCTGTACATACATCTCACAACAATTATGAGGATCAGTATGCCTGATTAGAGACTTCAATAACCCTTTTTGGATAGGATTCAGAGTAGCAGCCGTGTTAGTGAGTATTTATCCAAAAAGGAAAGGAGTACTTGTGGCACCTTAGAGACTAACAAATTTATTTGAGCATACGCTTTCGTGAGCTACGAAAGCTTATGCTCAAATAAATTTGTTAGTCTCTAAGGTGCCACAAGTACTCCTTTCCTTTTTGGATAAATACTCTAAAAGTGGTGCGCTAGGTGTAATGAGTTTGTGAAGCCTGTTTGGATTTGCTGTTACAGAACAATGAACAAGCTGGCAGCAATGGGCCTCCGTGTCACGTGAAGGAGTCTTGGAGGAGTACAAAACTGGGCAAATTGGAAATGAATAATCCAGAGAAGAAAATACAGGTCAAAAATGGCTGAGAAAAGTAGTAGTAGATAGATAAATGTGTCTGATTTCAAATCAACATAAATTATTGATTTAACAAAAGGTAATTTTACAAGGTGAACTGTGGTGCTTTTGACCCTCCCTCATGCTTTGTAATGAAGACAGACTGATTTATTAGCATGATAGGTTACCTAATAACAGTAGAGCTGGAAATGAGTCAGCCCTAATTTCTACAGAGAAAGTTCTGTTTGTTGTATATGCATTTCTAAGTAAAAAGCATGCATTCAGATCTCTACCTTGACCTTGGTATATACTGAAGCACAACGCCGTGTAGAGGAATATTGTCCAAAGCACAAAATTATCCATCAGTTATCCACCTTCTCCTGAAAAGGACAAATTGTGAAAGAATAAACTTTCTTTTAGTTTGAATTTCATGCTAGAAAATTGAGCCTCATATCACTTAAATATAGGTAGCATGAACAAAGGAAAACAAGACATAAAGAGAAATTACAGTTATCTTTTTGGATCTGGTTACACTATGTGGAAACATCCACAAATCCCATCAAAGATTAAATTAAGCTAATTTAACAAAACAATCTGTCTTTAAAATGCTGTGAGGGTTTTCCTTTCAAGGAATAAATCTTACTAAATTGAACAATAAACATGAATATTCACCCTCAGCTCCACATATCTTATCTCCTAGGGGTCTGCCATGTAAGTGAAAGAGAGATTCCCCTCAGCAAGGAGAGAACAACAACAAAATTGTAAAATACCGTGTGGCTCTAGGACCAAAATCTGCCTTACACAGGTTCTGAGTCAAAGCTCACTGAAGTCAATGGAAAGACTCCCATGAACATCAGCGTGCTTTGGATCAAACCCTTAGCACCTACTTGAAATTAAATGAAAACATTTTGTTTTCACACTTTGCTTTAATATGACATAAATGTACAGTTCTCTGCCTTTCCGGAAATTACCCACAGCCTTGTCTAAACCATTTACAGGCTGAGTTGCTCTCTGGAACTCACATTGCGATAGGCAGGAATTCTGCTTTGACTTGCAACATTGGAGCCTAATGGTCTGATTGTCTGATGTTGTGAGATACATAGCACCCTCAATTCCCATCACAGTCTCAACACCTTGCCCTGTCACTGCAGAAGATATTTTCCACAGGAAACAGTTATTCCAACTTAGTATCCCTGGGCAGTTGTGAAAAGTACTCCATGCTTAATGGACCTGATTTAGGTCAACTCTATTTGAGGACTCTTTGAATTGGTTAATGGGTGCTCAGAAACTTGCAAAATCAAACCTCCTCTTTGGAAGTTTTTCTTTTCCACTCAGCCAAGAGGATCTTCCCATTTGCATTCTGCTTTCTTCAAAATTGTTTAAACCATGAAATACTAGCTGATGCTCATGTTCCTGTGATAATCATGGTGTTGATGTCACCATCTGTTCTTTGTGTCAATGATGCGACCTGTGACATTATTTAAGTTTTAACCATCATCTGACACATACATACTACAAAAATCAGGACAAAATCTCCTCAATTTATCACTAACTAAAACTGCCAACTATAGAATATTTGTGGTGGAGCTGGGTTTACTCATCTCATGAGAAATAAACAATTGTGGTAATCTTAACCTAGCACAAGAAAAGGACAATTCCTGATGGTAAAAGAAATGCTGATCAAAGAGAAAAACCCCCAAAGCATGAATCAGCTATGGCATTCCAATCTCATGTTACTGTTTAGGAAAAGTTGAAGCACAGAACCCCTGCCCTAAAGCACTGCACGTAGTAGCAGGAGTTTAACTGTTGCTCATCTAATTTGATGCTGCTGCTTGTCTCATTCTAGTAAAGGCAAACAGAATACAGCCACATTTGTTTCTGTATTAGCACAAGGCTTTAAAAGTAAAATCTGTGTTTAAACCATACTGTGTATAGATCTATTACAGCTGGCATGGAAAACTTCTCTAAAAACTCTAACATACATATATTATAAGATTAAAGAAAGCTAATAAGATGTCTTTGTGGATGCACGCAACATAAATCCACTGTTCTCATGTCTGTCCAAGACTCAAAGAACTGATAACTATAGCTTTGTCAGGCTCACTTCGCAGGTAGAACAGAATCTGAAAAGCGCTATGTGAAACCATGTGGGTTACTTTACAAAATAATAAATTACAGTGAACTGAATGTAGACAAAGAGAGGAACTAGTGCCTGCTTACAATAAGCCACAGAGTGCTGGACGTTAGAACTTGTTTTACTGAGAGAGAGAATGCTGATTAGGATATTCAGGTTATTCTCAACTCTCTTTGAACAGTGCTATGCAATCTTTCATTTTCTAAAGACACAGACAGAAGCAATTTTGGTTTAATTTCTCATGCTAGGGAAGCAAGAAAAACCACTCCCCTACCCACTGTAAAAAATTCTTACAAGTACAAATGTATTCAGTGGACTCTCCCAAATTTGAACATCAATTATCTTTACATACTGTACTACGAGCGCCGACTTCAATGAGTTTCCCTGCATTTATGCTGAAGTAAGTGAACACAGAATCTAGTTGTATGAGACTGCCAGTTAAGAGGGGTCAAAGGAATGGAAATACCTACTTTATTTGTTTAAAATATTACCGATTCAGGGATATATTAATTTGTCATGTGGAGTGAATTTTTGTACTGTTTAGCCAAATAATTGATCTCCCTACTTATAACACATAGTATGTTCATATTCAGTGAATTCACATATAACCAAAGGACCGCTGCAAGAGCTAGCTATAGCAAACCAGTTATTTGCACTGTTAAAAGTTTAGAAATTTTTTTTCTAGCTGATCTAATTTAAGAGAGATCAATGGAAAATTATTCATATGAGTTTTGCACAAATTTCCCTTTCTGATAGACTAATGGATGGTCTCTGCTGCATAAGTGCAATATGCAACGAAGCAGAATCCTTTCAAAGCAAGTAACATTAAACCTCAGACAACATTCTATTTAATGGATTTTATTTCAATTATACCAAAAGAGTTCAGAGACACAGCTCTTTCTCTCCTTATTTAGGGGAAAAATCATTTAAAGTCAGTGGTGCTGAGTCTGTTTGCACTCGCACCAATTTCATGCCAGTATAACTCTGTTTATTTCAGACTCTCAATCTATAACTCTGTTTATTGCATTATTCCCTGTTTACACTAGTATCAGTTTGAAGATAATTAAGCCCAAAAGGAGTCATGTCTTGTAGTGTTTTGTAGGATTTAGCCCAAATTATTTTATCTGATTTGTTGCTCATTATGGGCTTGATATTGTGAAATGCTGAATACCCTGGCCCTGATTAAGCACAGCATTTAAGTACATGCTTAACCATAAGCACATCAGCAGTCCTAGCAACTTAAAATTAAATACTTACATAAGTGCTGTTCTAGATTGGAGCTAGCATACTCAGCAATTTATAGGATCAAGCTCACTCACGACACACACACAATGAAATGAGAAAGCAGAAATTATCTGGTCTTTATCTCTAACCAGGGGGGTCAATCCTGTAGTCCTTATACAAGCTAACTTTCCATTAAACAAGTCACTGGGGCAAACCTAATGTGAAAAAAGTTGACAAATCTGATAAATTCTGTCTCGATTACAGGTCGCCTTTCAACTAGCATGGGCAGGCGAGAGAGCACATCTGCATTTGCGTGCACTTCTGTTCTTTGACTTTGATGTCATAGACGTAACCAGCTAAGAAAAACTTCCTAACTGTAAGTATGGTAGGACAATGGAATAAACTGCTAGGGAAGTCGTGGAATCTCTTTCACTAGAGGTTTTCAAAAAGAGGCTGGATAGCCATCTGTCTTGTACGGTATACACACAAATCCTGCATCTTGGGAGGGGATTAGACTAGATGACCCTTGCGGTCCCTTCTAACCCTATGGTTCTTCTATTATTCTAAATTCACTGGGAATTTTGACTGAGTAAGAACTGCAACATCAGGCCTTTTGCCTAAACTACTTTCGTTTAAAAAAAAAAGTTTTTATCTAAACTGAAATTTTAAACTACTTTCTAAATATGAATACAAATGTGACCACCTAACTCCATCCATGTGCAGCATCAATTGATTTAGTGCATTTCATTTAGGATATTGTATTGTTACTTATTATACATTAAGAATGGCTGGTACAATTATATTCCTTTCTATGCATCATATATATTCCTGAGCTAGCTGCAGCATTCAGCACTATAATGATCTAATGTAACGTTTCTCAAACTGGGATCTGCGAGGGTACTCCAGGGGGTCTGCCAACCCTGCTGCTCAACTCCTCCCCCTCCTTCCCAGTGCCTCCTGCACACCGAGGAACAGCTGTTAGTGGCATGCAGGAGGCGCTGGGAGGGAGGGGGAGGAGCATGCTAGGGGAGGGGATGGGGCATGCTAGGGGAGGGGCAGGAAGAGGAGGGGCAGAGGTGGAGACGGGGCAGAAAGAGGCAGGGACAAGAAGGGGCAGGAGTGGAGTGGGAAGAGGTGGGGTGCGGGTGGGGCCTAGAGCTAAGTGGGGGGTTTGGGAGTCTGTGAAAAATGTTAAACCAAAATGGGGGTCCTCGGGTTGCTAAAGTTTGAGAACCACTGATCTAATATAATGCTATATTTTGATCATATTTGTATGTGATTGTAGTTAATTAAACCAAATAACAAGGAGAAAGGCTATAACACCCCATTAAAAACCAAAAAATATGTATTAAACATTTAAATAACTAACATCTGATTAGGAATTAGGTAACAAACAGAATTCTTAATATGTAAAATATATAGTTATGGCTAATGCTTTGACTCAAGTGTCTTCCACAGAGCCATAAACATTCAATCTTCATTTATACAAAAGCTTCAGATTGCAAATACCTGTAGTAAACAAACTACCTCATGATTAATACCAATTACTGTCAATCACTTATTTCATAAAAATAATCATTATAAACAGCGCAACAGAGCAGCATTCACAAAGTGTCTTTAACAGCATAAAACGTTGCAGTCAAGGCTATGCCTTTGTAGAGCACAGAGGATATAGCTTCACCCACTGTCTGCAAAGCGTACAAATTCCATCCTTTTATAACCATTGTATTCAGGAAAATTTCCAGACTGTGAACTAATCCAGAGGGGAGAATGTTAACTTTGGCACCTGTATCCACCATGCATTTAGAGGTATATCATAAATTTATCTGATATGGGATCCCAGGGCCTTGCCATATGAAAGGAAACATCAGAGTCCCTGATAAAAGTGGTCTCATGTGGCTCCATGTTTACAGCATGCATTTCAGGCCTCCCATCATTGCGAACCAGTATACGACAGTACTCTAATTTAAAGTGTTCTTCATTCCCACGAGCCCAACACACAGCAGTTCTATACAGGCAGGC